TGATTATGGACAACAGTTTCAAGAATTTCAAGTTCAGGTTGTTCTATCACTGCTTGTTGATCAGATTCTTCTTGAGGTTGGATTTCACTATCCTCTAGATTATCACCTAATCTCTTCACCTCAAATTCCATCTTCTTTCCAGTAGAAGATTCTCCTTCCTCAATCTGTTTTTTCTGACTTACTATGTTTTTAAGACAAGGCATATCAAGTTCATTGAATTTCACATCTCTACTGTTAATAATTTTAATGCCCTTTACACCTAAAACCCATAGTCTATATCATTTCACGCCCTTTGGATAACCTAACATTACACACTTAGTAGCCCTAGGGTCCAATTTGACCTCAACCTGATGTGAATAAGTCACACAATCAAACACTCTAATATGTGACAAATCTAGGGATTTTCCAGACCACAGCTCTTGAGGAATCTTGAAGTTAACAGAACTAGAAGGTGACCTATTTATCAAATAGGCAGCAGCGCACATGGCTTTTCCCCAGAAACCTTTAGACAATCTAGAATTAATCATCATACATCCGACTTTATCCATTAAAGTTCAATTCATTCTCTCCGCTACCCCATTTTGTCGAGGGGTATGTCTTACAGTCATGTGCCTCATTATACCCTTTCCCTTGCAGAAATTATCAAATTCAAAGTTGCAAAACTCTAAACCATTATTCGTCCTAAGAGTTTTCACACCCTTTCTCATTTGATTTTCAACTAAGGCAAGCCAAGACTTAAACTTACTAAAAGTTTCAGATTTGGATTTAAGGAGATATGCCCAAACTTTCCTCGAGTGATCATCAACAGTGGATAGAAAAATATATTTCCTCCACGTGTGGGGTGTTTTTCAGGACCCTACAAATCTGCATGAATGTAGTCCAATGGTCTTTTAGTGCTGTGTTCTCTTATCCCAAAGCTAACCCTGTGTGACTTTCTTAGAACACAAGTCTCGCAAAAACTTAAAGGTATAACACTATCCTTACCAAGTAAATTCTGGTCACTAAGGTATTTCAATCCTTTGTTCCCAATGTTATTTATCTTCACAAACTAAAGATAATGCCGACTCTTTGCTATCCAAGGTTTTACCTTGAAGGATATATAACTCATTCTTCTTGGGACCTTTCATAACCACTAGAGATTCTTTACAAATTTTTAAAGTACCAGCATGAGATTTGAACTCATGACCTTCTTCTTCTAGAATGCCTAAGGGAATGAGACTCCTTGGCAGACCCGGGACATACCTAACACCTCTAAGGGGTCTAATAATGCCATCATGCAACCTAATAGCACTATCACCTACTCCTTCTACATTGTGTGTACGATCATCCCCTAAGTATACTTTTCTAGGATTCACATCTCTATAGTTATAGAACTAAGATTTAAGATGACACATATGAACAGTAGCACTTGAGTCTTATACCCACTCAATGTCAAAATCAATATTAGAAACATTCATGACATGTATGTTATCACAAGTACCATTTACCTCGATGTCAAAATCTCCTGACATGGTCATAACATGTAGGCAATCAAGGGAATCACTTACAGCAACTAAGTTCTGATCATCATTGTGCTGCGGTCTTTATTTCTCCTTAAGGCCATTACAGTCTTTCTTGAAATATTCTAACTTGCCACAATGGAAGCATTTCTTACCACTCTTATCTCTAGACTTAGACCTACCCTTCGATTTTCCTCTGCACTTCTTACTTTGAAAATGGTTCTCCCTCGTCTCATTCCTCTCTCTAACAAACAAACTCTCTTCTCTCGAGCTACCCCTCGACTCTTTCTTAAGCTCTAGCTCCCTAGCCCTCAAAGCATTAGTCACAATATCTTGGGTCAAAGTATCCCTAGCATACGTGATAGCATATCTAACATCTCTATAAGATTCGGGCGTAGCATTTAAAAGTATAACCGCTAGATACTCACCATCAAATTTCTTGTCGTTGTGGGCCAAACACTTGACGATTCTGTTAAAGTCACTCAAATTTGATTCAAGATCCTTCTCCGAGTCCAGCTTAAAACTAAACAGTTTTTGAAACAAATATATTTTGTTTGGAAGGGATTTTTCCAAAAATAGCTTGTCAAGTGCTTCTCACAACTCTTTGGCAGTCTTATGTTATTCAACTTGTCCTAACATATCATCAGATAAATGCAATATAATCAAACTATGTGCAATTTCATTCATCTCAATAATTTCATCTGGTTTAGCTTTTAATGCATTGGGATATTTTTTCGAGTCATTAAGAGCTTTAGAAACCTTTTGTTGAATTAAAATTGCTTTCATTTTTTGCTTCCAAATGAAATAATCTCCCTTACCATTGAATTGTGCCAATTTAACTCGAGAGGCCATATTAGCAAAATAATGTTTTCGAAAAAAAGTTTTATTTAATCAATTTACCCACACACAAATGCAAGTTCAAACCAATTTATGTATAAATTACTTGCCAAGATGACATAAATGATGATATCATAACAAGTAGCACATAACCAATATCACAAGAGTCAAGTAACAATATGGCAGCAAATAACACGATATTTCAATTGTAAATTCGAGAGGATGTTAGAGTGCGCAAACCGAGCGAACCAATCTATTGGTTCGTATTTTAAGGAAAGATGCGAATCTTTATCGATCTAAAACCTCCAGTAACTGACCTAAGTCATCCAACAACTGCTGAAATCCTAGGAAACACCACCGAGCCAACGGAAAAGTTTATCTGTTTTCACTTTTCTACCCGAGGCTGTATCTGCTTCCACAGTGCACCAAACTGAAATCTAACACCACCGAAAGGTCAGAAATTCATCAAGGAACAATATGTCTTTTTTGACCTCCGACTGAATCCCCTCCACACGCCATCACGCATCGCGAATGTCTTTTGCAGGTGGTCTCACATGCTGCCTCCACCGCCAGCACGTGTATCACACGCGCTGCACCAACGTATACTGCTTAACGTCTGGAATCTGGTGGTGGTTTCCGTTCGTCCCCAGGTGTGTAGTTTTTCCAGAAAATGGGTTTAAAGTTTCTGCTGAATTTGTTTTCGAACAAAACTGAACTCCTTCAACTTCCAATCCGATTTTCATGTTGTTTTAACACTTTTTACCCTAGCCCAAGCTCTGATACCATTTGTAGAGTTTAAAATATAGTATATAAAAGATTATTACAACTACAATGCAAAATAATAAACCCTCAAAGTGTAAAATCGAACCAAAACGACCCAAAGCTTCTTCAACATCACCAATGAAGTGTTTTTGATGTTGAGCTCAGATTTGTGCCACACCAGATCATGCACCGTCGTCCACGAGAATGATAATAGATATACAGAGAAATGATTCGTCGGAAGCCACCAAGAATTACGTCGGAGTTATGAAAAACTCCCACTTGGTTACCTCTCTATGCTCTCTCTCAAATGTTATGCCAAGTCCAAGAATGAGAGAATAAAGAGGTATTGTAATTATAAAGCCAATTCATTTGAATTCAAATTCAAATATTATACTATGATCAACAAAAGAGTGACAACACTAGTATAGATAATTGACCACAATATTAAATCCAACAATTGGACTTAATCTATAGTCCATATTACTCCATAACTAGCACAATCCAAATCACATTCTCTAGACCAATCAACTTGCACCAATAATAGGATGTCATCCACCTTACAAAATGTGAGATGAACTTTTTTCCATTTCCAATTTTCCAACATAATTCGAATTCAAGTGAAACTTTTGAATCCATCCAAACCATCCAAAATCGATTTCGAACGAGTATATATAATATGGTTATCTAATCACAAAATAAAACACGTTCGACTTTGAACTTCTGTAGTCAACTAATGAAACCTATTTAAATAATTTGTTAAGGTTGGTTAAAAACAATATTTACTAACCAATTTATAACTGAATTCAGCCACATGTTTGATACCCAGTAAACCTTATGAATTATTGACAATTCATTAATGCATTAATCACATTTCAACACCTTTTGAGTGTGTTTGAAGCACTGGATTAAGTCGTAAGAATTAAGATGAAATTATAGTAGATAATACCAAGTAAATAATATTATGATTACGGTGAATTAAAGGGACAATAATAATAATAATACATTTTCTTATCTTCCCTCTCCATTATATATTTGGATAGTCTAATTAACTTTTACTCCTTGTCACTTATTCATTAGTTATCTTATTTTTTAAATTCAACATAGCAATTATTTTCCAGTTTAATAACAGCAATCGTATTAGACAGACATCCAAGTATGCTCGTCGTGCCGCGTAAACCATTGAAAGCCCCATTGGATAGAAATTAAAATTAATAGGAAAATAGAATAAGTTTTGAATAATATTTTTAGAAGAATGTGTGATGAAAAAGTAGAAAAAAATTTGAATTCACGTATAGAATATTTTATTGTGCAAATGTGTAATTAAGAATGATCATGTAATAAAAAATAAAATAAATTATTTGGTGTCAAAACAAGGCTAGGCTAAGTGAAAGTCAATAATTAAATTAAATTATATATTTTATGAAACTCACTATTTTCAATTATATATTTCATTAATTTTTTATCAAAATTTATTAAAAATCGTACTTTTAATCCCACCAAACACATGCAAAATAATTATTCAATTAGTTTATATAGGACGGTGCGCCTAGACGGCCAGGGCCTTCAAGCAGATATTGGGTAAAACCAAGCTCAATTAAACTCTTTGGACAGGGTTGAAGACATGAAGCAAGAAAATAGGTTGATTTGGATTTTTATTTTTTTTAAATTCAAACTGTCTAATTGTATGTTGACACGTGACGTCCCTTTTTTACCCTGTTTTTGACCTTTCAATCAAGCTGCACCTACGTGGCCTTGTTCGCAGGCCTGATTAAGCAGCACGGTTTCTTTCCTTTAATAATTTGTTTGAACAGGCGATTTTTTGACGGGCTAATTTGGCAATTTTTTGATTGACAGATTTGTCAAATATATATATGTGTGTGAAAATCTGTCTGTCCTTTGCTTTCCCTTTGATATGCATCGAACGGCTAAGGTCCATGTTGATGATAACCGTTACAAAAATATCTCTGTCGTTCATTGCCACTCCAAAACTGTTCTCCGATTATTTTCCTTTGAACAGTTAAATTGCCATTATTGCAATTGAAACTTGCAATAATCATTTTCATTATTGGTTGGTACTATCTATTTGGGGTCCAGTTTTCAAGAAAATATCAGAAGTTCGTCTACTTTCGTCATTTCGCAAAACCTCACTCGTTTTACTGTTAAGGACGTTTCAGTTTTTCTATTTTGACTCTTCATCGTTTCACCATTTTTATCTGTTCTCAGAATCTGGATATCATTGGGTTGAAGCATACAAAATGGGTTGGAGGGATATGATCTCTTTCTGTCCTACTCCGAATTTCCGGAATATGTTCCAGGTATTTTTTTTTATTTTTTTTTTTTATGTTTCTTATATAATAAACAACCATATCCTATCCAGAATGTCTTTTGTTCAGAATTATTATTTTTTAATTAAAATTTGAGTGTTTTAAAGTGTGTAGTTCCTTTCAAATCTTTGTAATTTTGTTGTACCCGAATCTTGAAGTTGAATTTTTTTTTTTTTTTTTTAAAGGAAGCAGTGAATCTGGTGGGTTGTAATATTGAGTATTCGGGTCCATATTAAAAGACCTAACAAGTTTAACCAAGCCCTTACAGGTTGGTTATTGATTCATTCATTAGTCAATGTGGGATTTATACGTACGGTCTAAAAGTATAAACTTCTGGGTGAATTGGGTAGGTGAGAAAATTGACCCTCCAAAATTTTGGAACATGGATAACATTATATTCATTTCATTACATGATCGTGTGTGGTTTGCCTTTGGTGGTAGGATTTTAGGGGATCTCTTTTAATTTAGAAAGTTTAATTTATTTTATTTTATTTCTACCACAGCCCGATTAAGAATCCTGCATCATATTGGAAATTTAGAAGCAGCGTTCATCATGAATAATTTTGATGCTCAAATTGATTTTAGGGAAGCTGTAGAACATTTCTCTTGAATATTCAGATGATAGTTTTTCAAGGTGTGCGAAATATAAGTTGTTCGACATGATTAATATAAAAATTATGTGGTTAATCAATTGTTCTTTAATTAATAATTTCGTGTCCATAAAGAGAGAGCCAAGTGTGTGATATCTTCTTTTGCTATTATGGTATAAAACAATTTGCTTCTGATTATGCTTCATTAGTTTTCTTTTTTGTGCGAAACTTGCGGTATGTTTTAGTTTAACTGCAAAGTAGTATTTGGAAGTGTCGGAGCCAGGGAATAGAATTATGTGTCCTCTTCACATATTAAAGGCAAGTATTGTATGTATTAGCTAGAATAGCATTGTTTGTCACATGAGATTTTTTATTTTTTAATTTCTAACAATGTAAAAATATTAGAATAATAACGATACAGCAATGCAAAGATGTGTCCCTTTCATTAGTTGGTTTACTTCAGCATTAAACTCTGGAATTTCTAGCCAATTGTTTTGTTTAATTCTCAATGAACTTGTTCAGGAGGCAAATTTTTGATATTTGATTTTTAAACGATGCATTGATTTTTATTTTTTCTTTTTCTTTGAAAGCATCGTTATTCGCTCTACCAGTTTGCTTGAGTCGAACTTCATTTCGATTTGCATCGGCAACTTGAATTGCAACTCAAATAATATTGGTGCACTCATGTTTGTTAAAATTGCGATTTTGTAGAATTGTACTATTCAACAATCCCAAATCAAAAATCAATCCTACAAAAATCATATATTGATAGAATTGTATAGAATCATATTGAAATCGCAATAGAATCTTATGGTTCTTAGTTTTTACGATTTCAATGATTCCATGAATTCAATGTAAAATTGGTCCAGAAAATTGAAAAATTAAAATATGAAAAATTGCGCTGGGTGGCTAGGTAGTCAGGAGCTTGATTACAAGAAAAATGTGGGCTAGTACCATGTTTCAATTTTAAGTTTTACCTATAACTAAGCCAAAATTAAAAGATTTACTTTCAATTGCCACTATTTGAAACATTAGTTTCCAGCTACAAAGAAAAAATGATTCATTTTCAGTTTTTGTTACTGGTTTTGAGTTATAGCTTATAAGATTAAATTTCTTCTTCTTATGAGTTACATTATACAGAATTTCAATTGATGTACCGATGAACAAAAGTTACTTATTTTTTCTTTAAGTTCTCCACTTTCAATTTCATATATTTGAGCTCTAATCATTTTAATTATTCATCACTAATTTTCTCGTGAATCATTTATATAGTAGTTGAAAACTTTTTGTTAACTTTTTATTGTATGTTTTAAGCTAGTTATTGACTTACAGTTGTTAATTTGTTGTTAGAACTTTTATTTTCATTTTTGTGTTCATTTTAAAGCAAATATTTAGTAGAATTTTAAGATTTACAATCCAATTCGCAAGATCCTTCAGCCAATTCGATCCAAAAATACGATTCTGATAACCATGGGTATACTGTGTACATGTTCTATCAAACAGGGTAGACAAGATGGAGCCGTGATTGGATGTGGACACACCATTAAGTCTCATGGGGCTGAACTTGCAAGGAATCACAAGCACGACTGGCTCATACTGTTACTTCTTGTTGTAATAGAGATCATTCTCTATGTAATTCACCCATTTCACCGTTTTGTTGGAGTGGACATGATGACAGATCTTAAATATCCTATGAAAGACAACACTGTGCCAGTGTGGGCTGTTCCAGTGAGTATTTCTTAATCCTGATGTCTGCAAAAAATCCACTTTAGTGTTTTGATTGTTTTACATTGTAAATTCTTTCCCCGAAATTAATATTATTATTTGTTTTCAAAATTTGAATCAGGTTAGGATTTTAGCAATTATGTTTTCACTATTCATTGTTCTAAATTTTATCCTCTCTGTGCTGAGAATATCTTGTTTATCACAAAGTAGAAATAACGCACTTCTCGTTTGATCAGCTGTATGCAATTTTGCTACCGGTTGCCATTTTTCTTTTCTTCTACATTCGGAGAAAAGATGTCTATGATCTGCATCATAGTATACTAGGTAATATCATTTTCATGTCATCTCTGTAGATATTTTAATCCCTCTTGCTGGTCTGATATTTAGCAAACTTTAGCGAATCAAGTGATTGGATTGGCTCATCACTTCTGCTCATAATCTAAATGCAGGACTCTTATTTGCTGTGCTGATAACTGCTGTCCTCACTGATGCAATAAAAGATGCAGTTGGCCGACCTCGGCCTGACTTTTTCTGGCGTTGCTTTCCTGACGGGATAGATGTATTTTGTCTTCATTTCTAACTCATAATTATTTAATCCCTATTTTATAAATCCTTCTGTAATCAGGAAGTCATATGCCATGCAGTTATATTTTGTTCAAAACATTTGAACAAAATGATTCTTTGTCATTGAATAATCCTTATCTTTACATGACAATGAACATAAAACTGGTCGTAATCTAATTAATCAATCTACTTTCTTATCATCTGTCATATTCTTTGTTCCCTTTGCTTCATCAGGAGTATGATCGGTGGGGCAATGTAGTATGCCACGGAAAAGAGGGCGATATAAAGGAAGGACACAAGAGTTTCCCTAGTGGTCATACTTCATGTAAGTAGTACTTCTTGCTTTATGCTTGAATTTTCACTTTGCAAGATGCACAAAATGTGACAGTTCATAATTGCAAAGATTATCTTGCAGTTTTTGAATGATGAACCATTTTCATAAATTTACGAAGTATCAGTATGTAATGTCTAAGTATAACATAATTCTATGTATAATTTTGATTTTGTGCATATCATGAACTTCGCATGTATGATTAATCTAAAATTTTTTCTCGAAAAATAGCATAAAGAGAATCCATGTTATATGAGAACGTAAGTCTATTTCCTTTATCTTCGTTTTGTCGCCATTGTTTGTGAACCATTCACCTAACGATATTTAGGATGTTTTGCAGGGTCATTTGCAGGTCTTGGTTTTCTGTCACTGTACTTATCTGGAAAAATTAAAGCATTTGACCGCAGGGGTCATGTTGCTAAATTATGCATCGTTTTCCTTCCTATCCTTGCTGCATGTCTCGTTGGTATTTCTCGTGTGGATGATTATTGGCATCATTGGCAAGACGTGTTTGCCGGCGGTCTTCTAGGTGTGTGATTACGTATTTTGAACAATTCTCTAGATTTAATTGGTTATCATTCGTTTCTTCATGCAACGTACATCCGAATATACTTTCAGGTCTTGTGGTGGCTACATTTTGTTACCTGCAGTTCTTCCCACCTCCATACGACACTGAAGGTAGAGCATGTTCATTTGCATTTTACTTGATATATCTGCACTAGTTTTCTTTCATACATCGTTTACTTTTGCATATATTTTGTTCGATACACAAAAGGGAATGTGTGTGTCCTAACTGGATTTCTGAAGTTCATTTTCTTCATTTAGTGACACTAAACGAACCATTTGCCACAAGAAATAACTGATCAATGATACTTCAGTAACGGAAAAGAAAAAAAATGAAAAGGGAAATCAAATTATAACTTCAATTCTTAAATTCAATTCTTCCAAAACTAAGAAAGTGATACTATTTCTATTTAGTTGGATTGATATGTTGTTTTTAAGTAAGAGCTACTCCACTTTGGACCATTTGATATTAAGTTGGAATCATGATTTTCCATATGATCGTATCAGAGTCAGGTCTCAACGCTGTACCTCACTGGTTGCAGAAACTTAAAAACCAATATTTTCCGGTCTCTGTCTTACCATGTTAAGTTTGTTCCTTCATGTGACTATGGTTCCATATACTGCTGTTTCAGTACTTCTCCCTATTGTATGCCATTGGCCCATCACTCTGTTTGTTCATTCGTATGAAGCATCTAGAAGAATTCCTCCCAGCAGACTTCCCTAATACTCAAATCTCATTTTTTATTTCAAGGGGACTCGGTGGATTTTATCTTCGTTTTTCAGCTTTTACCTTGACCGAAGCAGAGTTAAGATAGTATTTATACTCAGCGAAAGGAAGACAGAAGAAGTACGATTGCATAATTAGTATAGAGATTTTACTTTTAGAGTTCTTTTAACTGCATAAATAGGGTTATTCCTTCGTAATTCTTAGACAGAAAAGTCATACAAATATTATAGTAATTTCCAATATTTCTGTCTCAAGTATATTCGCTTGGTTTCCAAAAGGTGCTTACTTGGTTAACTATTGATGGCAGGATGGGGTCCTTATGCATATTTCCGAGTGCTGGAGCAAATCAATAGTTCCAACTCGCGACCTGCAAATGCTGTTGGCACGGCAGCGCAAGGAGTGAATCAACAGATGACATCAAACAGCAGAGTAGATGATCAGATTCTGAGCTTAACTTATGATGCCATGGAGTCAGGTAAAAGGTAGATTAGAAATGGTATTATGTGCTCGACTGCTCGCTGATCTTACCAACTTCACGTTTGTCAAGTATTTGCACTCTGTTTCTGTCTTGTATTTATCTCATGTGCAGATTAGTTTTTTGTACAATAACGAATTGAATTTCCATTTTATGGTATTGGTGCATAATATAGCTGTTATGCTTCTTACAATTTGGTAAGCTTTCATTTTCAATATGTTGGGGAATACACCGATTCAAAGCATTTTGTATTCACAAATGTAACTTACATGTTCACGAAATCGAAACAAGGTTTCGACTTATCGAAATGGAATTTGAGAAACTAACCAATGATTCTCAAATCTGACAATTTCCATTCTTGAATTAAAACATGTGATTCTACATATCTAACCTTGTATAAATCATATAAATAAAATTAATCATTTTCTAAAATCAAGTATGAAGAAATGAAATCAGAAATAAGAAAAAATTAGATGCAAGTGATGTAATTGGTCGAGGTGAGTATAACTATTTTCTTAAGATGAATTTGTCTTGCATTGGTGTTAATGATTTTCCGACAATCATCTCCCAAAATACAAAGACCACGTCAAGCCATAGGAGCACTCCAAATGCCTTCGACCAACAAACTCGAAACGGAATTCTCTCTGTACCATAACCATAATTTTGATGCAAAAGATAATCACTTCTACAAAATGTTTTATGCATATTAAAGTGTAAAATATGGAATGAAATGAAATTTCTGAATAAATAAATCCAAACATATGGGGTCAATATATAGATGTTGAAAATATTTGTCTCAAAATACACAACTATTGGAATTAGTCTATATATTTAAAGAGACATGTCTCTTGAAAAATGATAATGTCAAAAGTTATAATCTTTCATATAGAAAGACACCTTTTCAGCTAAATAATTTCTAGAATATTTCATAATATTCTACGCACTTTTTCAATAATTCACGTATTTAAGTGATTTAAATTTTGGCTTAATTTTTCGTTCACCAAATAATACAAAATTTTCAGCAAAATTCCAACAATCCCCCATATGAATGAAAATTAATACAAATATCTATGCAGACACTAGTAGAGAGAGCGAAAAAACACCGCGTCAGGGATGGTAGCTTTTGACCTTGAACCTCCTTTAGTGAAATATCATCGGACTTACTCGGCTAATTGGTTAACGTGATGTCTTGAACTATTCAGCCTTTAGTGTAAGCCAAGACAACGATACTCACATAATGTCTTCCCTAAACCGTTCATGGTTCTCATGAATTGGTTCATTTTGACCCTAAACCCTTCTTGGTTTTGTGAGTGTATAGAGAATTTAAGCTTTAAATAATTCTCATCGAAACGGCCCCACTTCACACTCACATAAGTGACATCCTATTAAGAGATTCTGCCTTACTCCACTTGACTTAATCAAAATATAGGAATGATTAGAAGATTATCTTAATCTCTTGGAACTCTGCAGAAAGCACTTTAATATCATAGGAATAAGTTAGAAAGTTATTTTCCTTAGTGTTTCATAAAATCCTCATAACTTAGTTGTCCCTTTGAACCAAGATCTTAGAATCTCCAATCAACAAGGTAAGGTTACCATTACAAAGACTCTAACGTAGTAGGCTTCAATCACATTCTTTTCGATATGTAGTATACTTAATCTCTGGGTAAATCTCTTAAAGGTATCACGAGTTTACTCAGAGAGATCAAATTGTGGGGGAATACTCCGATTAAAATGCGCATATTGTATTCACAAAACGTAACTTACATGTTCACGAAATCGAAAAAAGGTTTCGACTTACCGAAATGGAGTTTGAGAAACTAACCTAGGGATGTAAACGAGCAGGGTCGAGCCGGCTCGCGAGCCTAAAGTTTCGGGTCGGGCTCTGCTCGATTAAAATGGCCGAACTTTTTTGCGGGCTCGAGTTTTTGTCGGGCTGAGTCGGGTAGGCTGGTTTTCTCCCTTTTTTTTTTTATTTCTCTCCCTCGCAAGCTGCTGCCTTTTACAGCAGCTAGGCAGCAGGCAGCCTCAAATTTTTAATTTTTTTTTTTAAAAAGCTCGCAAGCTCACGGGCCGGCTCGGGCAAAGCCCTTGTCCCCAAAATGGGGCTTGGCCCGAGCCTAGGCTCGGGTCTACCGAGCCCCGAGCCGAGTCACGGGCAGTCCGAGCCGACGAGCCCGATTGCCATCCCTAAACTAACCAATGATTATAGAATCTGACCATTTCCATTTTTGAATTAAAACATGTGATTCTACACATCCAACCTTGCATAAACCATATAAATAAAATTAATCATTTTCTGAAATTAAGTATGAAGAAGTAAAATCAGAAATAAAAAAAAATTAGATGCAAGTGATACGATTGATCGAGACGAGTATAACTCTTTCTTTAAGATAAATTTGCCCCGCATCGGTGCTAACGGTTTTCCGGCAATCGCCTCTCAAGATACAACGACCACGTCAAGTCATAAGAGCACTCCAAATGGTTTCGACCAACGAACTTGAACGGAATTCCCTTTCTACCATAACCATGATTTTGATGCAAAAGATAATCACTTCTACAAAATGTTATGCATAGCAAAGTATAAAATATGGAATGAAATGAAATTTCTGAATAAATAAATCCAAACATATGTGATCAATGTATAGATGTTGAAAATGTTTGTCTCAAAAGACACAACCTATAAAAGAGACACAACCATTGAAATTAGTCTCTATATTTAAAGAGACACATCATTTGGAAAATGATAATGCAAAAGTCATAATCTTTCATATAGAAAGACACTTTTTCAGCCAAATAATTTCTAGAATATTCCATAATATTCTACGTACTTTTTCAATAATTCACGTATTTAAGTGATTTAAATTTTGGCTTAATTTTTCGTTCACCAAATAATATAAAATTTTCAGCAAAATTCCAACACAATACTATATGCCTATTTGATTGGATTTCTATTTGTCTCTGCTTTATGTAGAAGATTTTTCTAAGAAAGTTTGTTACTATAACTTTCTTTAAAAGCTCTTACTTTTAGAAAATATGTTCAAAGACTGTCTAGTTTCACAGTTTTTGACTTTTCAAAAATTCTGTCAAATGGGCCGTACTTTTTGACGGTTTGTGGTACTTTTTAAGAGAGTAGAATTACCACTCCTCACTAGTGTCCTTATGTGTGTACATGCCAATCAAGTATTGGTAATAAGGATTGAAAATTTTGAGAAAATGTAAAACTTTGAACCGTTCTTGTATATAGAGAATTAAATTAAAGGGTCAATATTTTATCTAAACTTGTAAAAGTTAATGACAAAAAATTCGCAAGTTGAAATAACAAAATCAAAAGTTGCTAATTACAAGAGCAGGACTTTTTCAAAGTTTTTCAACTCTCACGAGCCACTATGAAAGTTTTGTTACGTGATTGCACTTCGTTTATTCAAACATCAAAGGTTAGTCTAAATATTTTTGCTTTATTTTCAAAGTTTGTTCGCTTAAACAATTTTGAGTTCTCCGTGTATGGAAGACATTCTCTCTCACTATATACATTATTCCAAAATAAAGAAACTACTGCTGCCAAAAAAATGAAAAAATTGAAAAAGTAAAAAAAAAAAAAAAAAAGAAGAGAAAAGCAATCCGAAGCTTTTAAGTTAAAATATTTGTCAAAATTGGAAATTTTAATCATATATCCTAGAGTATATCTTTCTCACTAGATATTATTATTCCAAAATAAAGAAGCTAAAATAAGCAGTCTCAATGGAGTATAGGTACTTTAAGTTTAGAAAAAAAAAAAAAAAAAATTTGTTAAAAATTGTGAATAAGTTTTTTCAGGTTGTTGCATGGTTTGGATATAATTGAGATTAACTTTTCAAATGGCATCGTGATCAAATTAGGGTATAATTTGAGATTTTATTGTTATTAATAAAATTGACGTTTCCTCCTCCTTTCAACTTCACATGTAATACATTCATAATGAAGATTATCGATAATCGTTCTACGTAATATTACAATGACAATTTGTTATTTAATACGTTAATGTGGTAGTTTTTTATTGCATCATACATCAAATAACAAACTGACATGTATATCCACGTAAAACGATTATCGGTAGATTTCACCACGAATAGCATTATTCATATTGAAACCCAACTAACTGTAATCTCAAATGTGGCGGTGTTCATTACAAAAAAAAATAAAATAAATAATAATAATAATAATAATAAATAAATAAATAAATAAATACCTATGATGTGTACAAAAAAGGATTATTTCAATCGATTTTGCTACTTTAACCATTGGGTTGACATTTTGGGTGATCGAATTGCCACTTGACAATTCTAACCAATTTTGATTTATCATTTGATAATTCTGTCACCCAGGGAGTCACCCTAAATGTTACCATAGTAAAACTCCATTTCAATTCCAATGTCTTTCCTTATCTAATAAAAAGATAATTTAACGTTTAAACGATTGCCTTGTAGTTTTTCGATCGATGAACATATAAATTTATTCTTCTAGTCACAACAAGTTTTGAATACTCTCTCTCATAAACTATTTAGTAAAATGATGTGGTTAGCTACACTTTAAAGGGAAAAGTAAAATAATGAGAGTATGACAATGATACGTTGACATATTTATTTGCCATATAATTTATGTTGTGACATTACTTCTTCCCTTCCTTCCCTTTCTCTCATATTAACTACGTGTTCATGCATAATACTCTAATCTTGTAAAAAAAATTATAAATATGCCAAATGAGTTTTCTATAAATAATTTTTTACCTTCCATATATCTAAATTGGTCCTTGTCCTTTATAATGGATAGATCTTGCATTATGTGACCTTTATAATGGATAGATATTTAATTATTTTACTTTTATAATTGAGTGATCTTAATTCTTACATTATTAGCATGAAGGGGTTGGTGAGAGTACACTTATTACTTCGTTGACAAATTATTAATTTCCTTTCTGCTATGTCCCTTATTTCAACCCCTCTTTACAATATGTTAGTGATAATTTTTTATTTCATAAAATTCTCTTATAAAGTTTCATATTAGACATACTTTGAAGATAACTTATTTATTTTCAACTATAACTAATAATAAATTTAATTGTTTTAAAAATGAAGAATTTTTTGAGCTAAGGAAAATATACAAAATAGCTCTTTTTGACATTTTCGGCAAGAACATATTCCAATTTCGCTTTGG